GGCGAGTCAATCCCCATAGAGCTCCATGTTAAAACATCCAACAAAGAGTTGCTTGTATTCTAACACAAAGGCCACAACTTTACAACAACGTTGAGTACTCGGATAAGGCAGAACACATAGAGACGGGTCGCTAGAAGAGCGTAAACATTGTTTTCCTCTGGTACAGCGTGCTGACTGGACGCTCTTCTCTGCTGCTGCACGACGAGTTACTCTAGCGTTTTTGGGTGCTTCACACCCATCCTGTCTCCATGACAACAGTCTGTTGAAATCAGCCGCTGTATGACCGACACAGCTCCGTTACTTTTTACTGCATGTTTTATATTTGAGACGGAGCGAGGAGGGTTCAGGATCAGGCTAACCATTATCATCCCTCCTCTGGTCTTTGACAGCGTACCTCTCTCCGATGTACCCGGCGGTGCACTGACACTGACCGCTGATATGGTCACACAGGCCGTCGTTACGACACGTGCACTCCTCAGAGCAGTTAATGCCGAACGATCCGAAGGAACACGGCTGTGCACACACCGGACCCTGCAGACGACAAAAATCACAAAAAAAAAGAATTAATATAGAAACGATTTATCTGTATGGAAGTTACTGATACTTATTTTGTACTTGTAGAAATAAAAAAAGAAAAAAGAAAAAAAGAAAAATGTCTCACAGCAGCTTTCAAAATGACTCATGAAGTTTTGCTCGAGATGATTTAACTCTGCAGGGTTTGAGGTTTTTGCAGTGTAGATGTCATTGGAGGAGGTTTTTACAGCTTAAAAGAATTGTATTTGGGTTAAAAGAAGCGCTCCCACTCAACAGATCTTACCACCCAGCCTGCAGGACAGGAGCACTCCCCGGTGACGTGATGACAGGTTCCTCCGTTCTGACAGGGACAGCGCTTCTCACACAGAGAGCCATGTTTACCCGGAGGACACGGCTCCTCGCAGCTGCAGTGGAAACACAGCAGAAGAAGAAGAAGAAGAAGAAGAAAACAAGAGTAATGTAGTTGTAGTCCTGCAGTTATTGACCGTATATGTGTGTATATGTATATATGTGAGTCTGTGTGAGCTGCTGACACATCGTCTTTAGAGGTGAGAGGCTGTCGGGCGTTAGTCTTTTTTAAAACTACTACTTGTACTGTATAGAAGGCATTGTGTAACTCACAAGGCCCCCGTGTATCCGGGTGCACACAGGCACTCTCCGGTCTGGTGGTGACAGGTGGCGCCGTTGAGGCACTGACACTCCAGTAGGCAGTCCTTCCCGTAGAAGCTAGGGTCACAGGGCTCCTCGCAGCGCCAGCCCTGGTACCCGTCTGTGCACACGCAGGCACCGGTGATTGGGTTACATTTGGCCCCGTTCCTGCACTGACACCGGTTACTGCAGTGAGGCCCCCAGAAGTCAGTCTCACAGCCTGCACAGAAGAAGAACATGGGATTTAAAACTGTGGATTTTCTTCGTTCGACGCTATTTATACTGCCTGATGTCCAAACTGCACTGCTTTAACTTCATAAATCTCAGAAATTTGTGTTAAGTGTTAAGTCCCAGTCTCCATGAAAACTGACACATATAGATGAATTTCATGTTAGTGTGTTACACACTGATGGGAGAAGATGTGATACGTCCTCACACCGTCACTGATGAAAAGTTCTGATCTGCAGCTCTCATTAAGCAGAAAGACAACTCAGTAAACTTCATACAGAACGCCATTGTTTACCATCCCAGCTGCTCCAGGATCTCTTCATACCATCACATGACCTTACTTAAGGCAGGCAGAGCCGACCTTATTTATACAGTGATTTTATAACTTTAAACCCGCTTATACCAAAGTGCAAAAATAGTCACAGATTTAATCTGCTGATCAGAGAAGATTGTGATGCTGCAGCTGTAAGAGAAACCCCGTGACTGAGGTTGGATTTTACTATTTTTAAAGGAATTCCTTCATTTTCTTTGCCTTTAGTACGAGTCTTACATTACAAAGATTCCTTTGTAAAACATTAAACAACAAGATTCCAACCATCCATTTCTTTCTGCTTATCCGAGGTCGGGTCTCGTTGGCAGGCGAAATAAGTCAACCCAGACGTCTCCCTAGCAACATTTTCCAGCTCCTCCTGGGGGAATCTGAGTTGTCCCAAGGCCAAATGGGATGTATACCGTATTTTCCGCACTATAAGGTGCACCGGAGTATAAGCCGCAGCAGCTAAATTGAATGATGTGTACATATATAAGCCGCACTGGACTATAAGCCGCAGGTGTTTTAATGTTTAATTACCCTTATGTAAGGGTTCGTGCACAGAGGGGATTGTCGGGAAAGAGATGGCTTCCTTTGCACAAACTGTCTCGCTCTCGTAATGTCTGTCTGTCTTGCTCTTGTTCTGTCTCTCGTTCTGTCTCTCGTACCACTCTCGGTTCCACTTTTACTTTTGCGCGCTACCTGTCTCACTCTTTTCCGGCCTCCAGCTTTTCCTGCTGGAGCCCGCCGCTTAAAGGTGGGGGGGCGCGGACCGGTCATAGAGCCCATAGAGTTAAAGTTGGTGGACTGTAACCTGTAAAATCCATAGATTTAGGAGGTCCCCTAGTGGCCGTTAGCTGTAAAAATCCATAGATTAGCCGTTATATAAGCCACAGGGTCGAAAAATGGGAAAAAAAGGCGCGGTTTATAGTCCGAAAATTACGGTAATCCCTCCAGAGAGAACTGGGTATACCCCGGAGTCTCCTCCCAGTTGAAAGTGCCCGGAAAACCTTCAATGGGAGGCGTTCAGGAGTCATCCTGATCAGATGCCCGAACCACCTCTGGGAACTCTGGGGTCTACCCAGTGGTGGTTCTAGAGTAGATTGGGGCCCTAGACAAAAATCAATTGTGGAGCCCTCCAACCAACATTCAACAAGGCAACAAGAATGAGTGCTGTCAAATGGGGCCCCCAAAGAGAGGTTTCCTACCATCATTGCAAAATGTGAACATTTTCAGCAACTGCTTTTGTGGCCCTCTACTGGTCTGGGGCCGCAAGCAATTGCCTGCCTTGCCTGTTAACAAGCAGCATCTCTGCTTGTCAACAGGCCCCAAATCTCCTCCCAGTTGGACGTGCCTGGAAAAACTCCACAGGGAGGCGACCAGGAGGATCCTAATCAGATGCCCGAACCACATCAACTGGCTCTCTCTGATGTGGAGGAGTAGCGGTTCTACCCCGAGCTCCCCCCAAATGTCTGAGCTCCATAATCTCAAACGGTGAGCCCAGACACCCTCCAGAGGAAACTCTTTTCCGCTATTCGTATCCTCGATCTTATTCTTCCAGTCTCTACCCAAAGCTCATGACCACAGGTGAGGGTTTGAAAGAAGATCGACCGGTAAACCGAGAGCTTTGCCTTCAGGCTTGTTGAGGGAACAACAGAACTGTAGTTCATTAATCATGCTTGCTACGTATGAGGCAGAAGTATAGATAAAGGTGTCGTCTGCATAAAAAGATAATTTACTAAAATCAAGTCTAGCCTATACATTAACAGGCATAACAATTTTCTTCAGCCTTTCAGCCTCTTTTATCTGCGTTTAAGAATAATAAATCATTTCTGTGTGTCTTGTCTTCTCCTCTTTATCTGCTCTGAATTCAACAGACTCTCAGACGAGTCGCTGAAATAAATCAGAACTGGGAGACATTAGATGAGAAAAAATAGACAGAATACATATCATTATATTGTTGAGTACATCATCTAACAAAGAATAAATCAGAGCACTGTTATATCTGTTTGATGTATGCTCAAAGGAAGTGAAGCACCCAGAGTCTGACTGAACAAATGGGCTTCAGTTTAAGGGAAGAATCCAGGAATTGTTGGTGCGACAAGCTGGCGGTAGAGACTGGTGAAACAGGGAACTTTCCTCTGCAGACGTGGGTGGCTTTCACAGATATTATAGTGTTAAATGTTTCATCAGTTCTGGAGTGGACAGAGCTGTGAGCAGACGGAGCATATATCAGACTCTCACTTCCCTCCCTCTAAATCTTTCTCTAATTTACTCTTCTCTTTTCTCAGCATCCCTCAGTTCCTCCTGCATGCCCTCGCTCCCCTCCTCTCCTCTCTCGATGAGGGGGAACTCTCCTTATTCCTCTTAACTAGTGAGCCAGCATAGTCAAATCCTTTATCCTCCCGCAGCCTCAATTATTCAGCAGCAAAGAGTCCAAATCAAGTGACTAATGACTTTGATCAAGAGTAGCTTGCTGGCGCTAAGCAGAACTTTCTGCACTAAATTAAGAGCTGCCTGTACTTTGCAGAGAGAGAGAGAGCTAACTCTTTAAGGAATGTGTTTCCAGGTTTGTCCGTGGTGGAGAATAAAACCGGAGTTTGCCCGAGAGGTTTCGTTTGTTTTGTCAGAAGACAAAAAAAGCACTTTTAGACACACCTAGATTACAGCCTTTACATTCCCGTCCTGTTTCTGGCATCTTACCAAAAAACAAAGATAGTGAAAGTAGGGCTACATTTTCTTTTTATTACATTTTATTTCTTATGCTAGCTTAGAGTTTATGTTTTTAACCAAATCTTGGTAACAAACTAATGACTACAATCATCTCATTGAAGTGCGCCCCCCTAACTATTGTTGTTTAATCCATCCCAGGGTTAGTGGTCGTTGTGGTGGTATAGCGTGTGTTTTTCAAAAAAGGTTCAAATGCCAGCAGATGACTTGAAATGAACTCTCTGTAGGAACACTTCCGCATGTTCCTCTAACACTAAAATGTGTCTCTAGTCCATCTACAAACCCCCCAATGATGAGAAAAGTCCATCCTCTCCGTGTTTTTCCTGCTCCACTTTTCAGAAAATGTGTGCTCAAACAGGCCGTTTGGAGATGTTCCCTTCATGACATCACAAAGGGCAGTAGCCCCTCCCCCAGGTGGGTGACACTCCCACAGCTAGGTGTTTGTTCTGCCCTCTGAGTCTGCCTTCTCACCGTAAACAATAAGACATGGAGCGAGAAAGCCAGAGACACCCAAGCCCTTCCAGAGAGGGGGCGTGATCAGACACAGCTCATTTACATATTTAAAGGTACAGACACAGAAACAGCCTGTTCTGAGCAGGGCTGAAATAGAGGGGTTTGTAGACATGATCAAATACAGGATCAGAGTGGATTTAGAACAAGACACTTCACAGACATGTTTTAAGGAGCTCTGAGACTTATTTAAACTGGTTGAAGAGTAGGAGAATATGTGACCTTTAAATGTTTTTGTGTTTCATAAATGCAGTTTCATGTTTTTCCTTCAAAGTTTTTGTTCAATATGAAATGTTTTATGTATTTTTTTGTAACATATTTTTCTGATTGTGAAATATTTTGCCCTTTATTAAATATTGAGGCATTTTGTGAAATGTTTTCGTGTTCAGTAAAACGCTTTTGCAGTTAACTTTCAGGGTCGGCTTTCTTCATTTAAAAGTAAAACAAACATGAATCATCGGCTGCTGTATTTAAGGTATCAGCTCCACAATAAGAATCTTAAAAGTCAATAAAGGACTTCGTCTTAAAAACGCACACAGCCTGAACATTCTGAAATATTCATGTGGTTAACTTTTCTTTTTCTTAAAGCAGAAGCTAATTAAAAATCTGCAGATAACCCGCCTTCGCTGAGAGAGAAGGACATTTGACTTTACATCAAATAAAACACAAGAAACCAGACTCTCTACTAACTGTCCATCTTTTACAACTAGAGGCTATTATGAGCATGAGGACGTGCAGCCGACAGACATTAAGGAAACATGCTATGTTGAAGTGCTGGCTTCTCTGACAACAGTGCAGCAGCCAGTATTTAGATTCTGATCCTGAATGCTCTGTATTTGTTTGGACCAGAGAAGGTAGGCGGTTTTAAGGCACCCCCACACGGCCGTTTTGGACGCCCCTCGGTTTGCCAGATATGCATGGGCGGTTCTAGGCAGGGGCCAACAGGGGCCAGTGCACCTTCAAGAAATTGTTGAAGTAACTGCTCATCAGTGCATTGGGCCAAAAGCTGAATGGAGCCAGTAAAAGATAAACATCCAAAGTAAAAGTAAAATGTCAACATCTTTATTTCTGATTCAATCAGCTGAAACATGAAGCACATTCAAGAGACGCACAAAAGCAGCTAATTCCATTTCCTCTAGTGTCTTCTCCGTCTGTCGTGAGTGGACGTCTGTGACTGCAGACCTTTGTTGTCGTTGATTTGTTTGCACAGTAACCGTGTGGTTCACCCCGAGTCTGTCTCGACCGTTGAAAGTTTGCAGCTCTGATCAATGAAAAGAAAAACTTTCAGATGCTAGCGAGCAGGAGCAGAAAAAGTTTTTTTAAGATGAATGAAATGCTGATGAGTGACATCTACAGTGTCGAATATACTGACAGGTACACCACTCTGAAAATACACAACTCTCCCTTTAATGTATATCACTCATGATGATACAGTTGGAGTATTTAATCTCCAGCAGGATGGCGCTCTGAGAGTCAGACTGAGGAGGATCGGAGTCACACAGCTGAAGATTTCCTGGATTATTTTGTGTTTTCACTCATTATGGTGTCTTTGAGTTGGTGTCGCAGAGATAGTTGAAGCTTTCTCTGAACTGAGAATTCATTTTGAATTAATTTCTTCTTCTGTTAAAGGAGCAATATGTAACTCTGACACCTAGTTTTTAAAATGGGTACTGCAGTCCAAATTCTAAACATTGTATGTAGAGAGCTGTCTCCCCTGCCCCCCTCCTCTCTAGAGTCGATGCTCACGCAAGTCACCATGTGGTGGTCACTGAAGCTTCAGTGTTTATCCAGCTCTGCATCGGTCTGTAAACCTTTCTGTGTTCTAACCTCTCTCCATTTTTCAAAAGCATCTCCAATATTGATCCTAGTTTGAGCACGTTTCTGCTCATGGAGCTTATTAGAAACATGCAGAGGCTTTTTAGGTCGGATACAATCACTTCTATCTGAACCACTTCTCTTGCCCGCTTCCATCGCTGCAACACCTGTTGACCTGATGACTGCTCTCATATCTGGCAAACCGAGGGGCGTCCAAAACGGCCATGTGGGGGGTCTTAAAACCGCCTACCTTCTCTGGTCCAAACAAATCCAGAGCATTCAGGAGCAGAATCTAAAGTTAGAAGGAGGACATACTGTCTGCTGCATTGTTGTCAGAGAAGCCAGCACTTCAACACAGCATGTTTCCTTAATGTCTGATCAGATAGTAAAGTCACTTTATCAGTTCCCTCACTACACATCTCACTGATTGGTCCTTTAAGTTCCCGTATGAATGTGTGTTTCCTTTCTTCCTAACACGTGTTACGAGGTACTCATACACGTACACTACAACACAAAGAAGCAGGAAATGATTTGTGAGTAAAAGGCCCCAAATCGTCTGAACTCATGGCGACTAAATGACTCGTTGAATAGATGAACGATCATAACGTCGCTCTGTATCCATCAGGGAGCTCAAACATGAGGAGAGGATCAATGCTGCTGAACGCCTTCTCAGCTGCACACACACTCACACACAAACACACACACATCCATACACACACAGGCAC